GTGGTGAGCAGTCTAAGGCACTCGAGTATCTGCTGGGCTTCATCTGATCAGCCTTTGGCCAGCATGATCCCAGGGAGTTTGGGGGAGAGGGGCAGCATCTCTGTATCGGGCAGGGATGCTCATGTCTGGCCTGACTGAGCTGAGGTTCTGGAGCAAGAAGCTTGGCCTGTGTTCTGAAAACCATCGTTTAAGTCTGGATGCAGGTTTTCCAGCACAGCCATTTGGGCTTAAGTCAATTTTATTGCTTACTTGGGTATCACGGCAATGAACATAATAGACAGACAGATGGACAAATAAGTGCTAACGTTGATTCCCTTTTCTGAGAACAGTATCTGGATGTCCTGTGATAAGTTGCATCAGTGACGCGTCCACCACCCTAAAAGTCTGATGTGCCTCCACTGGTTTTGCTTGTGTGCGCATCTGTCCGGTGTCTCTGAAGCTCTGTTACCAACCTGTCCAAGTACGTTATATGTGAAGCATTCATTTTTTCACAGGCATGTGGCAGGTATCTTGAAAAGTCATCATCTGTTGTTCCTGGTTATCAGGGCACACAGACTGATTCCTTACACCACGTAGAGATACATGCCACACATCTATAATATGAGCCTGGCCTTGAAAGCAGAGCTCCTGCTAGGCTTTGATAGTTTCAGGAGGGATTTTAAGTTTCAAGAGGGATTTTATTTTAAAGTGGTTATTTCCTTGCTTCTGAAGGCAGGAGAAGGAGCAAGGAGGATTTTTTTCTCTCCCGTTGCGTCTTTTTGGCTGCTCTAGCTGAAGCTTTACCTTTGTAGCAGTTGCAGCAGAACTACTTGCATGAGTTATTTGTCTGATTTCTGTTGGGACATTTCGGTGTTACTTGAGCAGTGATAGATTGAAATTGCAGCAGTATATTTAAAATAGGGTTTGGTTGCAGTTAGATTGGTTTACTTGTTTTCTATGGATATTTTTTCAGCTGCTTCATGGTTTTTGGCTGAGTGAGAAAAGGCAGAGTACTGGTATCCAATCAAGCAAGAATTTATTTTTGAAATGAGCAGTTAAGTTCCCAGATTAGAGCAGACGGCTGCAGCTGATCTCATCCCTTGCATGAGTAATTCTGTGTGGGTATTTAGTGGACTAAATCAGAAGGTTATAAACTTTGAACGAGCTTCTTTATTAGAAACCTGTAAATGGTGTTAAAGATGCAGGAATTGCCCCTTTTGAGGATTGCTTTGATTGCCACTCTGGGGAAGTCAGCGTGGACATGCTCAGCCCTCCTCTGAGCTCTGAGGAATCCACGTAGTGTGCAGTTCTAACGAATTTGTAACTCCTATCTGAAAGCTGCATTCTTAGTATTTTTATAATGGCAAATATCCAAGATTAATAATCCACATAGCAGAACTGGGAGTAGGCTGCCGCGAAGGCTGCGGTATCATGTTGAAGTTCAAACAGGCTTTTTAATAGTCCGAACAGCGGTAAGTAGCAAACAAATTCTACTTCTGGTTCGTATTTTTTTGAATATTTACATTCTGGCCTGAGTAGTTCGAGGCCGAACGACTATCATCATGTATTTCTGTTTGGCTAAAGTTGTTTGTTAAATGTGTTCCTGGTTAAACTGAAATGTAAGACGTCCTTTTTCTGTTTAATTTGCCAGTAGGATTGCTTCCATAGTGATCATATCTGCCTCTTGTTTTCTAGTTTTGCGGCAATTCAACAGAATATTTCCACAGGAAAAATAAAAGTGTGCATGCAAGTATCTGCTTGATTAATGGCCTGTTGGAATTTTTCACTATAATTATACTTATGCCACCAGATGAAAAGAAATGTTAATGTGAAAAATAGTTTTGTGGTGCAACCATCATTTTCTAAAAGCATCTTGCATTGCTCTGTGTCTTCACATATCAAGATAGTTGTATTTCAGACTCCAGTTCCTAATTTTGCAAAGGTATTCCCCTCATGTTAATGTTAGGAAACGTAACCAGCCCTCTCCCTGTCTAAAAGCAGCCTTATTTGTCTCGCTAATTCCCTGTCAGTTTGCGTGCTGGGATCCATTAATTTAGAGAAAGTGTCTGGAAGAGAATTGAAGATGAGGTGTATTAGGCGCTGAACCAGAGAGTTACTTATCTGCACTGTAACATTTGTATTCTCCTTAGTACAATACTGGAGGAAGAGAAGCTGCAGCAAGAAGAACGAATGAGAATGGAATCGAGGCGACAAGTCACCGTGTCGTGGGATTCAGGAGGATCAGACGAAGCCCCTCCCAAGGTAGCTATGCTTGGCTTTCAACACAGACTTTATATTAAGCAATATTGTTGTTTTATTCTGTTTACCTACTAAATACCATTCAGTAGCAAAAGAAGCCAAGAACCGCCTCCCTCTTCTTGCCCTGTGTGATGGTCTGCTGCTAATAACAAGGTGTAACTAATTTTGTAATTTTTAGGCAGATTTTACTTGAAGGATCCAACTCCTTATGTGCCAAGCTATTGGACACAGTTTGTATTGCATTCTGGGGCTGTTAAGCCAGACGGCGCTAACATTTCTCTTCTTTCCCTTTTCCCAGAGGTTTGTGTAACTTGCAGGAGACTAGCACAGCTAGTTATTAAACTGTTTTGGCCGGGGGCTAAACATTTTTCTTTCTGTCTGTGTTGCTCCTCATAAAATATTAGCCAGTGACATCCCCAACAACTGTAAAGTCACATTTTACAGCAACAGAGTGAGTTAGGTAAAATATTTCCTTGTCTTTTACTTTATTTTGAGTAGACTGTTGAAATTCCTCTCTGAAGGCTCTGCCTGCAGATTAATGGGATTCTTATGTACTCTGGTTTGCCCTTTGTTTCCCTGTCACTGATACATCTGTCCTGTTTGGACACTACAGCTGTACAATCCTGGAGCCTAATAGAATTATAACAATACTGAGCACCCTCCGCCCCTTTTCAGTAACCTCTTCTTAGGAGTCTCTTGGCACCTTCAAGCACAAATCTTGTATTTTGGCTACGTTCTTTTTTTTTAATTGTCACCATCAAGGTGCCAGATATCTCTGTCTTAATCAGTTCCCTGGTCATGAAAACCTGCTGCCCATAGCTGCTCCCGTTAGCTTTACTTGATTTTGCTGCTTTTGTCGCACACATCCCAAGTAAGTTGGGTAAAAGGTAGATTTTCTTTTACCATCCCTAGCTTGTTGCCCAAGGGAGTTATGAGCCCACTTCTGCATTTTGATAGGGTCAAGAGGACAAGAGACTAGGGCCAGGGAAAAAAATGGTTTGAATGTTTTGCTGTATAAAAAATGGAGGGGAACATAAAAAGGCCACTGACCTATTCAGTCGGCTAAGGTTAACTATCATGATTTGATACCTGTATAAGTTGTCAGTGTTTGACAGATTAAACATTGCATTCTTAAGGCTAATCTGAGTGGACTGAATGCTTAAATTATCTAATGAGTGAAGAATTACAATTCTGTTAAGAAAACACATCATTAAAGCCTTTGAGAATGGTATTTATGTGCTTGAAATGTGAAAAAGTGTGCTTGCTCTGAAGCCTGATACCCATATTATTGTATTTTCTCTTTGGATGAGTTTTTTAGCTCATGTTTGCTCCTGTTCAAATTACTCTCTTGACATAAGTGAAATACAACAGCTAGGCTAATGCATCACTTCACAGAATTTCTCCATAAAATATTAAGGATCTCTACTAATGGCCTGTTAAACTAGTTGGTTGAATGTTGTGAGTATGGGATTTTAATGTTGATTTTTATAGGGGAGTCTAGACAGTCTTCTAGTGGTAAAGTTTGGTTTCTTCTGTGATGTGTCAGTTTTAATCGTAACTCAACTCTGCCCTTGTACTGACAAAAGTTTTCAAGGCCAAAATTGTTATGATACGGGCATACCTCGTTTCTTGTATGCTTGCATGTAGAAGCCTTGCACATGCAGAGTCACAGTGAAGTTTTGCAGAACGCAGTGATAAAATGATGTAGTTCGAAGAATGCCGTGCTGGTGTCCTTTAATGACACTGTGGATGGCTTCAGCCATTTTGCAGAGTTGTTACAAGTGCCTTTTTTCTGCACTTGATTCCTTCCTCCCCACAGCATGTAGCCATAATCCTTCATCTTAAAGAAATAAACTGAGCCGAGCTAATTTTGATCGCGTGTCTATATGAAGGTTGCCACTGGTGACAGAGAATTGGAGCTGATCTAACTAGAAGATAAAAGTATTGCACGCTAAACAGTATTTCTGTCGTCTAGTAGCCATGAACAGACACGGCATGGCATTACCAATAAATTGTGTGCTTTTTGGATGGCTCTGCAGAAAAGCAGTCATCTTTTCACACAACACTTCTCGGTACCTTCGTCTAAATTTGCTCTGGCTGTTTATGTTTCTTCATTTTGGAGCAGACAGGATGTGTTGCACTTACTCCGAATATAGAAAGCAATCAGTTGTCTGATAGCCAGCCAAAAAAAATCTTGTGGCCACTTGCCAGCAACCACCTGCAGTCAATGTTGCTCTCCTTCCTAAGGGCAAATACTTGTAGCTGTCTTACTGGATTGGGAATGAGTTACAAAAGAGAGCAAAAATAATTAGGGCACTTCGGAATTTTTGGTCAAAAGCACCTTCCATTTGGGACAGTCAATTACATGAATGTTAAAATCAATCAGAGCTGACTGAATCCCTCAGGATATTTCCTGTGAGTAAATAATTTGATTTGCTTTACTTGTGTTCCCTTTAGACCAGATTCTTGCCAAAGCATTTACTATCAAAAGCATTCACCAAAAGAGCAAATTGATGGCAAATAGCAGCAGAGCATAGATGATAAACTTTGCAATATAAGCATTAACACTGGGGACCTGATCTAAGAATAATGCTTTTCCAACATGTCCCATCAGACCCAACCAGCACAGTTCAAGATGTTGCAGACTTGAGATGGACTGCTCACAGAGTCATTTTTACTTGCATTTTGAAGGAGAAAAATTGCCTTTTCTGAAGATAACTTACTCTGTTGTATCTTGCATATAAATGCTGTCTCTCATAACGTTCACCCCTTTGTATTTCAAGCCCAGCAGGCCTGGCTACCCCAGCCCAAGATCCAGTGAAGGCTTTTATCCTAGTCCACAGCACATGGTTCAGCCCAATCATTACCAGGTAACTTTGTGCCTGCCCTTCAAAATGTTAAAGTTATTCACTGCTTGCCTGTGATGGGTCTGATTCTCCTGTTGCTCACGTAAATTTGCCTCTGCTGAGTTCAACGAGATTACTTTTAGATGTAGACCAGAGCTGTCTCGTAGGTTTATTTTGAATGGCAGTCAGTTCAATGTTTTGTTCAGCTCTCAGCTACAGCGAATGCTGTTACAAACTGTCTCTTACTCACCAAAGATGTTCAGTGCTTATGTGATGCTTCACACTAAGCTACAGGTGACTTTCATGTTAAAATAGGATTAAATGGTTGAATTGCTTTGGTTTTGTTCATGCTCTGCTCCCTAGTGACATATTTGAAGCATTTCAAATGTTGTTAGAGCATTAGAGGCCTTCCAGGCTATCTCATCGTTTACAGCACAGTTTAAATGAAGTCTTACCCCATCAGAGGATATTTTTAAAAATATTCTGTTGTGAAAACATTCAGAGGTTTTAATTTTGTACATAGCCATAATACATCAGGACTCAGGCAGTATATTTTCAAGAAACTCTTCAGTTGCATTAAAGCTGCTTTGATTTTTCTATAGAGAAGGAGCTGTCAAGTCATCCTGCAGCTAAATAAGATAATGACATGCTGCCACTCAGGATTTAAGCCTGTAACGTCCACCGGGGGGTACATTTGAGCATTGTTCCATAGGGCGGCATGAGCACGACTCCCATTAGCACTAATGAGAGTGATGCGTGTAATTCCTGATGCTGAAAATGTACTGATTATGTCCTTTTCTTGTTCATTAAGGGATTTTTATGTTCTCTGTTACTGGGGTTAAAACAGTCCTTTTAGCACTGTTTTGAGGAAGCTTGTTCTACCAGCACTGTGTGTCTTATTAAAGGAATATTTGTGGGTATGTTGTTTTGGCTTGAAATACTGACTTCCTTTTCCTATTTTCTCTGTTTTTAATTGACTCAATCTCTTTCCACGATGCACTTTTTATTATGCTCTGTGCTTGCCCATTAAGTAGAGATAAGTCTCCATGCTCACTGATTAACTGAGAGCCTTAATGCAGTCATCAAACACTCTCCTTTTTACGTAGGTTTCTGCATATCCTGGTTCTCATGGGATACCAGCCATGGCAGGCAGCATTTACCCCGGCCAGGCATCTCTCTTGGATCAGGCAGATTCCTGGAATCATCGGCCTCAGGAAATATCCATGTGGCAATCAAATGTGGAGGTAACAGGACTGTTCGTACTGTACCAGCATTGTGCACTCAAAAGTGTTTCTTTCTTTTTTTTTAATCTAAGGAAATCAAGTCCGTTTTCTTGAGATGAGAGAAGGCGGGAAGTGTTTCGTGATAGAAGCAGTAGAGTAGGTGTCATGCCTGGCTTCTTCCCCAGCACTGTCCGTTACCCTGGCCAAGCAATAGTTAGGGGTCTACTGAACTCAAGGCAGCTGCCAGGTGATTTTTGCAAGCAGACCGTGGAGCTGGCAGACATTTTTGTGGGCGGAGCATGGCGCACCCCCTGGCTCCGATTGGTCAAGGGACCCTGGTGGCCCCATTCCTCACAGCTGATTGGCTGTGCAGGCTGTCTGTCATGTGGCCCTGCCCCTTGCTGCCGATTAGTGGCAAGGGGTGGGACCCTATGATAGACAACCTTCACAGCCAGTCGGGTCAGGAGTGGCAGCCATCTTGCCTTGCCAGCAGCCGCCCTCCCACACCTTCCCCTCCTTGCCCCCAGTGGGCTGTGTGGCCAGGCCGCAGCTATCACAAGCTCTGCTGGCTCTCCAGAGGGACTCAGCATTGTATTTTCAGGAAGTTTTGTTTTGATTTTTCTCAGGAAGCCCATGCGTCTTTGCAGAGCCTGCCTGAAATCGCAGTTTCTGTGAAAATCGCACCATTGCGATTTCAGTAGGTCCCTAGTAATAGTGCCTCTGTGCCTCGCTTTACTCATCTTTATAATGGGGAGTTAAGGCAAATGGGGACTTGGTTATGAAGTGCTTCGGGTGTACCCAACACACAGCACTGGGGAAGTGTAAAGTTGTTCTGTTCAAGGGGAAAAAAATCACATCAGACAAAATATGTATAAATTGATGATTTATTTGTTGTTCTGTATAGAGAATATGCATTGTCAGTGCACCTTCTGAGCTCAGGGTTTCTCCACAATTACGTAAAACTGAAATGAAGTATCTTAGAAATCAGCATTTGAGCTGCAATTCTGCTGAGTGCATAGCATGTTTCACAGACGTGTTTTACTTACAGTCCCTTTGCTTCCTCCTCCCCCTTCCCCATCATCCTTCTTGCTCAGGTTTCTCCATATGAAGTTAATTTGTTGTCTCTGAACCATGCTCTGTAATGCATGAGTAGTCATGAAAAATGATTCATTTAGCAAAATAGGGAATAACATGCAGGTATCATATCAGGAGTCTCAGGTTTCTTTTTAATTTTGGCTTGGTTGACTTGACCATACATTCTGCCTGTCTCACTGCTTCCCAGCACCTCTGTAGTATGTCTGGTATAGGATCCCTGCACAACCTGGGAATAGTTAATCAATGATAAATGGCCTGACACATCTCTTACATGGGCTGTGTATCACCCTAACCCCCCTAGTGGGCCATTTATTTTCAATGGGGCTACTGACAAAGTGAGATCCCACTCATTGTCATTGAAAGCAAAAGAATCTGAACCTCTAGAGGCATAAATAAAAACAGTATGAGACTATGGTATACTTCAAGCCGGTTCATCACAAATATATTTTTATATACATATATACACATTCGTGATGAACCGGCTTGAAGTATACCATATTCTCATACTGCTCATA